TAATTTAATAATCAAGCTCTATAACATCAAATTTCTATCCAACTTGATTATTATACATATTGTCTAATAAAACATTTTTCTTCTCATTGTCCTTATAGGAAAAATGTGAAATAATTTAATAATCAAGCTCTATAACATCAAATTTCTATCCAACTTGATTATTATACATATTGTCTAATAAAACATTTTTCTTCTCATTGTCCTTATAGGAAAAATGTGAAACAGTTTAATCAAGTTCTACGATATTACCTTTCTATCCAACTCGATACAAAATTCATCGTTTCGAGTGATATTAGAGAGAAAGAAAGAAGGGATATTTCCTCGGGTGTCGGAAGGAATCATCGTACGATCTCACGGAGAAACGATCCCTCGTATCGGGTCCGACATTTTTCTGGCTGGAAGAGAAAATATCGAGCGTAGCAACGCGCTAGATGTCGCTCGTTTATCGACTTCCTGCCTCCAAGCCTGTTATCCACGCACAACCGTTTCGAATCCACCCGATAAACTTTCTTTCTGCTCCTCGCCAAACTTTCTTTTTAATGATTCAAGATTCGAGGAAGCCTACCTTTGAAGAGACATTCTTAAAAAAACTTGATATTGTTAATTGAAATTTTCATCGATTTCCTCGAAAATTTCGAAAATTTTTAAACGATGTTAAAAATATCTCGACTTTATTTAATTTCGAATTTTCTGCTCGTTCGAATTCAATGTATTTAGTGGTCATCATTTATTCCATTTATTCGTATGTAAAATTTGATATTCCCGTTTGCGAGTTTTCAAAGGGGAAATTCTATAAATTGTATTAAATTATATAATTGAAAATTTTTGTAATTTTTATTTCTGTCTTAATATTCAAAAATTTGTATTCTTTTTTTTTAGATTTATTTATTTCCATTTGCTTTTTTTTATGTTCTTTATCAATATTTAGCCAAAATTTTCTCTTTGCGAATTTGTAACAAGAAGATTTTCCAATATATTATTATCATTTTATTAATTTAAAATCCATTAATTTTTATGTTACTCTTATATTTTTATTAAAATCCAACCAAATTCTGAATTTTTTATACAAAAAAAAAATTTGTCAAACGATGTGCAAATCTGTTAAAAGTATATATAACAAAATGTTATTCAAGTCTTTTGTTGTATAAATTGAACATATGTTCAGGAGAGATACTTTGGGGAGCACAAATTTCGTAGCCATTTGCAGACCACAAAGTGAGAGCATCCTCTTTCGGGATGGGCTTTGACAAAAGGATCTTCTCAGATTTAGCCACGAATTCTGTACAACGTAACCTTCCAAATCTTGTTAATAATTGGTCGGTCTCAACCGGACCATAATATCTCGAATTTCTCAAATTCTCTTATTATTATCTAAAAAATTAATATCGATATAAATTTATTATTATTTAACTTCTCTAAAAACGATTGGCGAAGATTACAGCTTCCTGTAACATTATCTGATCCAACTTGGACTTCGCGATAATCATCAGTTCGTGTATCACAAGTCGTAACGAAAACCTCGTCATCACTTTTGCCACTACTTCTCTTCTTTGCATGTGTATTATAAAACGTGTATATTCTATATTCCATAAGCGAAAAATTATGATTTCTATGCAAATTCTTGATAAAAGATAAAAACGACCGGATTACAAATTAATTTCCATGATATCTTATTTATTTTTTAATCATTTTTTATATCTATTCTTACCTCTAAAAAATTTTTTACAAGAAACTATATATAACATTCATTATTAATGTATCATGTTCAAACGTGATAGAAAATATGAAAGAGCAATTAAAGAATCTTCTTACAAGATTTCTCTTTCCATTAATTTTAATGATTAATTGTAAACAGATCACATCAACTATCGAATATATCACAAATGTATCCAACAAAATATATACTGTTCACTATTCAAAGCTGAAAAGAAAACTAGATTAAAATATATTTACAAAGTCAAGTAAAAAAATTTTATAGGTTATGTTTACAAGACAAATTAACAAAAAAATCCTTTCATACTTCACCTCAATTTATCTTTTCACGCTCTAAACAATAAAATCATCATCCATCCACCGAAGAAGCGGCGTGAAATCCGGCCACAAAATAAATTGGACGCCTCACAGATGACCAATTTTCGTGGACCTCGATGCTCGTATCTGGTAATTAGATCCGTGATCTGCATAGTCGCGCCCGTTCTCCCCACCACTTACGCGAGATCTCGTACGAGAACCGCAGAATTGCGGTCGATACGTTTGATCCCTGCTCGAGCGCTCACATGCCCCCGATAAAAAGCACAGTTTACTGATTTTCAAAGCTCGGCCGGAAATAAACGTTTGTCCACCACAATGGCGCCGGACAACGTGGACAAAAGCCTGCTTTTTCCCTGCTTCCTCTAATACAGGTATTTGGGCCTGGCAGAGACTGTTTTATTATTCAAATTCCGCGCGTATTCGCGAGTCGTTACCTCTGGATCGTCTCGTTGTTTGACGCGAGTTTTGGAGGTTAGTTAGTTTAGGTTAAGTTAAAAATATGGGTGAATAAAACGTGATACGTTACAAGGTAAAGTGAAACAGATTGTTTCATTTTAAATTAGAGAGTTGGAAAGAATTTTTGAAGCGTTTGAAATTGAAATATTATGAAATAAAATTTGCTTTTGAATTTCGATCGAAAGAAATTATAAATGATGGAAAGAAAGGAAAATTATGATTTAAAATTTAATACGCTATATCTATTATTTTAATCTTTAAAGTGAAAATATAATATATTTTTGAGAAAGTTATATATTTTAAAAAATTAAAAATTGTTTAAAAAAACAAATTTCTCTTTCAGTAAAAAAATATATACGTTTTGTTCGGACCACGTATATTTCTGCTCTATATTCAAGCGTGACACGTCCATTTTAAAGGAAAAGCCTCTAGCGCTATATCCGCTTCACGCTCCTAATGCTCAATTTTAACTTTCAGAGCCCCTTTATTCCCTTAAATCCTGCAATAATATCGCGCAGCTATGGTGGCCGACTCACAAGACTGTCATTTCAAGATTAAAACATCACGAGTATATCATGTTTCAGATATATTAATAATTTATAATGCAGATATCGACTATAATTTTATTTAAATTAATATCTATACAATTAAAAAGCTTTAAAATTTGAAAAATCAATTATAGTATATTGCAATATAAATTATACCTTTTCTTTATTATAGCAATATTATTTATTAAAAATCGTTTCAATTATTTATAGAGATTATTTTTTATTCATATTTGTGAATGTACCAATTAAAATTAAAATTTTATATATCATATTGATAGAAGGAAAGAGAGAAATTATTATCGATTTTACATTTGAATAAATTGAATAAATATAATCAAAATTAAATAAATATAAATCTGGAAATTATTAAATATATTATTAAATTATATATTTAATTTATATATTTTCAATGTTTAGTAATCATTAATCGAATTATTGTATCTTTGCTATTCATAATTTAAGTAGTTACGTTTCGTATATGGTCAGACAAGATGATACCTAATCTAAGTATATACTACTTGTACATAAGATACTTATACAATCATGCAATTATTATAAGTATTAGGATTTTTAGTAAATATAAAATCAATAAAATGATGAACTTATATAATTATAATAGTGAAAAAAGTATAATATTAAAAACGTATAAAAATAAAAAAAATACTAAATACTTTGATTTTTATTTTTAAATAAATTTATATATAATATAAATATTAATAAAAATACATTGGAAAATAAGAAATATAAAAAAAAATTGAAAGAAGAATAGATCATATAGATTAAAGTGATTAAAAAAAAGCTTTAATCACTTTATACAGATATTTTATATAAGAAAATAATTCTTTTTATTAAGCATTAAAGAAGATCAAATTGAATAAGGTTCAATGAAACTGTTGTAAGAAGTTCTTTTGAAATAAAGATTTCAGTCATTTTAATGCCACTTTAACCACCTTAATATTTCCCATTGAATGTCTTTTACCTGCCTTTCTTCCTGAATTATATCTACTTACTTATTGTTTGAATGTATAATGCATAATGGAAATGAAAAACTTAACAGGAAGTATTTTTATTTAAAGAGGAAAGGATGAGATAGTTATTTGAAATAATAATGATTAAAGAACAATAAAAAAAGTATAATTTTTACAAAATTAAAAAAAATATTTTAATTTTCTAGATATTTTCATTAAAAATTCAAAGAAATATTTATTTTTTTTTTTTTTACGTTTAACAATTATTGGAAATATACTTTTTTGAATAAAAAATATATTTTCGAAAGATTATAATTTTATATTATAAATTTTGATTGATGACAATCCAATAATCACATTAATCACATTAAAATTTCTTTTATAAGTCTAATTTATTAAAAAAAACACAATAATGCTTTATTAACTATTATAGGATCAAAAATCAACTGAATTATACTTTAATATTCTAAAATTCCAATTCTAGAAATTTATTAAATGGGCAGAAAATTAACAAAGCACTAAAAAGTATTTAAAAATATAAAAGGAAAGAGAAAAAAAAATTTCATCTTCTCATAATTTCACATTAAATACAGTCAGACAAAAAGCAACGTGTTAACCTAACCTAAAACTTATGAAATTTAATTTCTCATTATTCCATATAACATAATGCGGTAACAAAGCACAAAATAGATTGAACATATAAATTTATCGTTTCGCAATTAGAGTTCGCTTTATCAGAATAATTTTAAATGCGGCGCGTTAAATATGGATGGATTCAAAGAGTACAACTACTACGGTATATGCGAGCAAAGGATTACGCGCGCACAAGTGTACTTAATTTCTGGAATAATTAGACCAACAGCGCGAGGAACGTCATCTGCATGTACGCGGAGAAATTTCATAGTTTTGGTATGTACGAGATATGTCAGGAAATATTTGGAAATTTAAAATTAAATAAAAAATAATTTAATTAAAAAAAAAAAATTGAAATTATAATACTAATATTAATTTAATTTAATTATCATCAGTCGATAATCTATAAATGAAGATGATTAGTCATATGATTTAATATTTTTTTCAAAATTGAAGTTAAATATCACATTAAGACTATATTTTAAGCTCTCTTCTAAGCTCGTCTAAAATGTTATAATAAAACTCCAGTCCTTGTTATAATAAAGCCAGTCCTTGATATTTAAAAAAAAATTGTTTATAATTCTTTAAAAAAATATTAATCTTTTGAATCTTGTCATATTTATTAATTTATTTTTTTTCTTTTATTTAAAATATTATTCATTCTTAAAGTCTTATCTTTTTTATTATTTTATATTCATAATTGATAAAATCAATTGCTTCCTATATAAAAAAAAAGCTAAAAAAAAGCCATATATAAAAAGTGAAATAAAATTGTAATACATGTGTAAGAATCGATAACAAAAATCACTATTCTCTTTTATAAAACAAGAATCGAATTAAACTGTAAAAAAAGAGCCATAACGAGCTATACTGAACTATACTTATATATACTTCGTTATAATTTTGCCGGAAGTTGCACAGTTACGAGGAGTATAACGGTGGTTACTACGTTAAACCAAGGTTGAAGTTAGAGAGCTCGAACGACCCTCTTACGAGCCTTAACGATTCGCTGGGGTTACTGCTATTAAAGCGAAAATCTGGAAAATTGAAGAAAAAAAATAGAGTATTCCGACGCATTTTGCCTCCTTTGGATTATTATCCTTAGGAGAACTCGTCACTTCGAACGAGAATTTTACGATCAATCCTGGTACATCGCTTTAACTTTTCGTCTGTATCGAACGATAAACGAAAAGACCAAACTTTTACTAGTTGACAATGGTTCGTAAAACGGTATTAAACAAGACTTTAATTCGGATCATATTATGAGAAAAATTGTAATCTAAAATTCGAGTGAATTGCATTCGTATTAATTGAAATGAATTTTTTATAAATTTTTCAAATATAACTTGAATGAATAAATATACGTATAAATATTTGAATACTATTAGTTAATTATTACGTGTGGCGCTAGTAGCTCGTTTTAGAAAAAAAGTATTCACTTGAAAATAAAATTGTTTAAAATATTTATTTTTCGATCTATATTTATTAGAAATTTTTTTCCTTGTCGAATACTGTCTATTAAAATTTTTAAACTTGTCTTTTTTATAAAAAATATAATTATACATACAATTTTTACAAAGAAGAAAATATTACTAAAAATTACTAGAATTCTTTTTAAACGAATTGGATAGGATGTTTCTTCTTCCAAATGAAAGGAGAGTATCGAACGTGCTTGTTGCATTTTGGCACTTAGCCCGAGGAAGCAAACGAAAGTTTCCTACTTGACATCTCTATTATACAATTGCTAATTATACAAACATTCGATAAATCACAATGTATATATTTCATATTATACCTAAAACAATAAATAATTCTTATAGCACAAAAGATCGAACAAAAAATAAAATTTCATAAAAATTAAGTAATCATTCTCAACTAAATATTAAGCAAAAATAGAATTTGTTATAAATATATTTTTACATAGATGCAATATGATAAATCAAATATGTTTCAATTTTATCTCTCTTCCAAACTTTTTCCTTATTTCTCGAAGCAAAGGACGCAGTTTCGAAAATAGAAATATCACGTAGAAAGCACTGTGATGAATTTCAATATCCATATCCAAACTTTCCGAATAGTCAGACAGGAAAATTCGGAATGACGTAGATCTTCCACGATTCCCTTGATAGCACCAATCTAAGGATGGCACATTCTTTACTTCAAATATATATGTGTATGCGCGCACTCTTCATTCACGATAGAATTCTCGCAAAAATCAAAATTAAACAAGTAGCGAGTTGAAGGTAAACGTGTCAACGCGCTGACGTTCGATTTGAATTTGGCGCGCGCGCCAATCTCGCGAAATATGAAACGTCGAGGAAAATTGAGATTTCATTGTAAAATTTAAATTTTCTGCACAGATATCATCCATGAAAAGTAATTTTTTTTTCTCATAAAATATAAAAAAAATATTGACAAAATAGAAAAATGATAAAGTGGAAAAATAAAAAGTAATTATCAGTAATAAAATTTAAAAATTAAAGCTTACAGATAATCTTTTTCCATTTTATTTATTTTAATTATATTAAAACTATAATGAAGCATGTGGAATGAAAATAAATAAAATAAAAAACAATATTACTGAAAAAGTAATATTTTTTCAAAGGAAAATTTTTAAAAATCATTTTAATACAATAATTTAATTTTAGATTAAATCTTGGAAAAAAAATTTTATAAAAATAATTAGATCTATTTAATACTTGAAAAAATTATTTAGATAAGAACCATTACAAATTTCCAATGATAAAATGTGATCATTCTCTTAACGAGATCATTGTTCGGAATAATGGCGCGAGTTTAGGTTATCCCATGTTGGCAACCAGCCAAGTTCGTGAACGCAAATCATATTCTTCTAACGATACCAAATAATGCTCTTTTGCTCGTAAATGCGACCGCAGATTTACCGTATAAATGCACTGAACAGATGATATACAATACAAAGATAAAATATATTTTAGGATACTCTTATTAACAAACCATTACCATTTATTTTCCACGTGATTTTGCTTCAATATGTAATTATATCCTATCATAAACGTTTTAACGAATAAATCACGTAAGAGATTTCATAAAGCTGTATAAATAATATTAATATGAAAAAATTGTGCTCGATACCAAATTTCAAAATTTTTTTGCAAAACAATTTAAAACTCAAGCAATTCTATTAAATCCTATAAATTCAATAAACAATATTAAATTTAATTAAATTTTGGCGCGTGAAATTTTTATAAAATATAAATGATCCTATGTAGTAATGAATATTTTATAAATGTGTAAACCTAACCTAATCTAACCTAACTATAGTATCTTGACTATGTACAATCTTGAGTGCTATCTTTTCAGTACACCAACATAAGAATATTCTCACTAAAATTGTGTACACTTTCAAGAGAGTAGTTTGCCAACTGTTAAGTCTGATGTATATCTGACAGCTTTTACAGAAGTCTCCCAAGTATTATGGACAATAGGTTATCTTCCAGAGAAAGCTTCAAATGCTTTTAAAAGCCTACTTCGGTGGTCTTAAGGACAGTTCTATGTTTTACGACTAAGAAGCTTTATTCGCTCTTCTGCCCTATCGCGTTTTATGTCAACCGACCAATAGATGTGCACCAACACACACTTCCTCCTTTCTGACGAAAATGTTTTACCCACTGAAAAATATGTACAGGATTCCTTCTGCACATTTCTTTGCTTTCACAGAGCATTCGTGAACTGAAAACGAGCCATTTGAAATTTTACTATGTTGTAACACATTAACTTGGATATATTTTGACATAAAAAAAAAAATAGTTATTATATCGAATTATTTCATTATGAATAAATATTAATTTATAAAATTTTATCGTATTATCATTTTAATTAAATAAAAATTTAAATAAATACTTTTTAGACAAAGATCTATAGAGCAGAAAAAACTTTTCTGATATATTTTTTTAACAAAATCTATAATCTTTGTTTATTTATACTTCTTAATTATAATTATTTTCTTTTTTTCAGCGGGCACAAATCTTATGGGCAAATTTACACAAAGCGTTCGAAGAATCGTCCAAGATGTAAAGGATGAAGGAACATCGAGTAAGTTTTTCTAAAATAAAATATACTATCTTTAAAAAATAGACTTGCATTTGCGTTGTATCATCATATTATCATCAATTTCCAACATTCCAATACGAAATTCCAAATGAGAATTTTTATTTCGCGTTAAAACAAAATGAGAAAAAAAATTTCAAAAAGTTATTCTTCTTTCTCGATTTCGATTTCTCGAAGCATTTGTCCGCGGGATAGCGAATGTAAGAGAATCGGGACGAAGAAGATGTTCGTGCGCCGACAACTGTTGGAAATAAGGTATTGGCCGGGTGCCAGGTGGTGGTCGGCTGTTAGCTCATGAATGGAATTGAAGCAGAAGCTTTTACACCCGGTCAGTTGATATAACGACGCGTCAAGAGTGGTATTTGCACTTGGAATAGTCGCGAACGTTTCCTCTGGGATAAATTCGTTAAAGCCGGATCAACGGTTCGTGTACCTTTCTCGAATTAAATTACTTTCGAATACAAAAAATATTATATTTTATTGGATTGATAATTTAGAGAAAGAGTAATATCTTAGGAAGGAAATTTGAAGAAAAAAAATTTCAATTTTTAAAGAAATTACTTAATTCGAAAATGAAAAGAAATTCGTCTGAATTAAAATTTTAATTTCAAAAAAATTATGCGATTATGAAATTATAATTTTAGTGAACTTATATGAAATTGTAAGAAGAGAAGAAATTATTTTTTTTGGAAAATCGATTCAATCAAAAATTCGATATTTATTATTTTTGATGCAATTTCGCCTGGAATTATTTTTTTTTATAACGGAACACCGGAACGGAAAATATTTAAAAAATTAATTAATAACTTTGCTCCATCTCGTTATAAGTATTTGAAATATTTGAATAATCATTTATTAACCAATAATATAATTCGAACCATTTTCGTTTAACATAAATCCTCGAATAAAGCATGCACTTACCTCTTTCAACGGCAATAAAGGAGAGGTTTAATTAAAACAGAAACGAATTCCCTGTAACCAAGCGGCAACATCAATTTTCTCATTAGGCGTACACGATACGGCTGAAAGCAATAATGTTATTAAACCGGCTTGGTGAATGGACACACAACGTGTTTGCACGTGCATGTGTGTATGTGGAGATTGCATCGCTTATTAATGTTCGAGGATCGGCAAAGGGTTAAGGGCAAAGAATGGTATGAAGTAATGGCGATGCTCGTGACAAGGCAACTTGAGTCCCTTTATTATCGACTCTTTATTTTTTTCTTAAATTATAAATAATTCGATAATGATGGTAATAATTT